ACGCAATGGAAAAATACTTGAGCCAATCAACCAAATGCTTTAAACAAGAAAGAATGAAAAAATATTTGTTCAAATCTATCGTACTTACCCCAAGAGCCAATGTAAGTGTGAGCAGCAGACTGCACACACACATGCCAGATAAACCAAGCAAATGTAATGTTCGTCTACCCGCTTTGTCCATCAGATAGCCTGATACACCAGTCATTATGACAAGTATAACTCCAACTCCCGTTGTTGCATATGAACTTTTCTCACCAATATTCGCTTTCTCAAACAGAGGTGTAGAATAGTACATTATACCGTTAATACCACACCATCGCATAGATAGATGAACAACAACGGCGACTGACAATGATAATCTAGCAACACATATTGAACCAGAGCAGAAAGTACATATGAATCTACTTACCGATAAATTGGATTTATAATTAGTTCTTTGATATTTACAATCTTTTGGCTTGATAAGTTTTCTGCTTCTTGTTTCATCTCATCAATTTCATCATTTACATCAAATTTTTGTCGTAATTTCATTACAACAGTTTTGGCCTGTGATTCTTGGTTACGAATGATTAACAAATACCTTGGACTCTCGGAACAAAATAGACTGAGCATTGTAAACTGAATCGCGGCAGGGAAAATGGCCGTCAACATGATGAATGGCCACAACTGATCAGTTCCAAAAAGAATAGGTGTCGAGAAAAGTTCGCCCAATAGCAGACCGGTAAATGAGATGAATGATGTTAATGTTCCAATTCGACCACGAATTTTTTTGGGACTAATCTCAGCTAGATACATAGAACAGAGGCCGGTATATAATCCACATTCAATGCCAACTACTAATCGACCAAGAATAAGACATTCAGGTGATGAAATAAATTTAGAAATAGACATTAATACTGCAGCTGATATGCCAATTAAATTTGTTAATAGTAAGCCACTTTTTCTGCCAAATTTATTACTAAGCCGTCCGGCAAAATATCCTCCAAATATTCCACCGAATGGAAATATTGATACTACTATGGACCATAGTATAGTCACAGAATGTGAAGATAAGGGTTGATGTCCACGTCGTTCGAAATAAACATCTGAGATGAATTTTTTCAAAGGTTTTTCGGCTGAATTTATACATCCGCTGTTCCATCCACATGAAAGCATGCCAGACGCTGCAGAAATTGCAGTTACAAGAAGCGCCCTTGTATAGATCTTAATTAAAAAAAAAACATAAAATTTCATTGAATACTGAACGATAACACTTACTTTCTCTTTCGATGCGGTTTCCATCGCTTTATCGGACTAAATCGAGTATATATTCGACAAGAAATCTTTACTTTTAGAAAGTTTCGAAATTGACACGTCAATGTCAAGTTATTCGTTTATTCGCAATGAAACGTGCACAGATAAAAGTTGTTTAAATAACCTTGATATGTAATAGAAGTGTATATATATATAGCCTGAGAAAGAATTTATCCTCTAACTCATATGATAGCGCATTAATCTGTCTTCATGGATTAGCATTTTCAAGAGCAGAAACGAATGGTTTTCCAAGATGCTTCAAGGTCTGTTAGTACTAACGTTCATCTTTCTTTTCCATTCAATAATCTTTAAAAGGTAAAAAACGTTTTTCTTATCTATTACTTTTTCAACTTCCACATAATAACATCGCAAAAAATGGACAAACGGACAGTATCAGAAAACAATAGGAATGGTGTTCAAAAATTGTCATGAACGCTTTTCTTTCGCCTTACTCGCGTTACGGTTTCATAAATTTTGGCCCAGTCCAGAGAAAATGTTTCGGAGCGGCCGATGCAGCTCGGGTAAAGAGAACAAATCCTGGCCTGTGGACCAGCCTGTAGAATGTGGATTCTTATGAGAACGTAAAAATATTAACAATCATAGTGACTAGCGCCAAATTATAGCGATTCGAATTACTGGTATTTAGCATGGATGCTCAGAGATGCATGGGCCTGTCTGTTACAGACAGGCAGGCTACAAATTATCGGCGTCCACCAGGCTAAGGCAGATCAGGCTTAGACTGAAATAGATCCAGGCAGACCTCTGAAAACACCAGGCGGCCTAGCCTGGCAAATTTGCATATTTTTATTCATAATTTAGCATTTCGGCTGTAGATGTCGTTATGTAGGAAAAAGTGAAAACTGTCATTGGTTAAGCTCTTGACTACTGAAAACATAGTTATAAGACTTGTTTATCGCCTCTATTTCCGAGTTAATTCTCTTATGGTACGTGGCCTCTTGACATCGTATGCTGGTAGAACTTCCAATTAGAAGCCAATGCACTTAAGAGGTGCCACATCATGCATTTCTTTATTAGCTTTGTCCAAAAGACGAAAATAGCTTAAAACATCTTGGTCTTCAACTGTTGTCTAAATAACACTCCCAGAGTTCCCTGAAAGTGAACTTCTTATTTTGATCCATAGCATATCGTGGCATGAATTGTGGAGGAGGACAGCGCTGGAAATGCTTTCAATAATGACGGCAAGGGAAAGCGTTCCAGCGTTTTTTTCAAATTTTTTTCTTTTAAATCAGAATGACACTAACTGTTGTTAAACTGTATGGTAGATTTGTACAAAAATGTCTTTCTGCTCATGGCTAAGTATCTGTCCATCAAACTAACCATGTACTTTTAGTTTTGATAGTGCACGATTATACGTTTGTTTGTTCTTTTCAACCACAGTTTATCTATGATTCATACGCACTTATGATTCATATACGCAGTATCAGTCAGCTGTTACAGTAGAAATTATTCAATAAAAAGCAAAAAGCTTAGTACAAAGGAAAATAGAGTTAAATCCAAAAACTGTTAAACCAAAATGATCTAAAAAAGGTCTGTTTTTTACATTGGTAACAGCTGTCAAGTATTTGAAGTCTTTCACTATTTGAATCACTGTTGTCTGCAAAGATATTGTATTGTTTGTAATTACGAAGATGACAACCCTGATGACAGTTGCTTCTGAAAGAAAAAGAAATACTTGCGAAAAGCATACAAAATAGTTCAATATCAACGGAAGTGGAGCTGATCGTTGGGATATTCTCCTAAGTAGAGCATATAATCTAATTCTAGTGGTAAATTTTTCTTCAGCATGGTCGCCGTTTCAGTTGGTCCTGCCGCTACCAGAATCTTGCTTTTCGGTAGCAATTGTACCATGGCAGGTTCACACCAACATTCATGAATACGTTCAGCTAATACCGCTCTATTGTTGCTGACGAAATGATATTTTGTTTCTAATATATTGTCTGATTTTAAATCATAATTACAGGTTTCACTTTCTTTGCCACCTCGTTCTATACATGCTTTTTCCTTCTTGCTTCCAGGCGTTTCAAACACGATATAATACGGTCATACTTTCGAAATAGACAGTTAATTGTAGTTTGTAATAATTGAATGGCATAATCACGGACAGTTGCAGAATGAGCAGTTAGCTTTATTTCTAACGAGTTTCCTCCATCAATGATCAATACGCATCGATCAGCTAAAGAGTAAAAAGATGGATCGGAGTCAGCTTAAGGTGCTTGCTTGTTATTGGGCAGGATGTTGAAAATGATGCTGAAAAGAAAAGGAAATGACTTTACTAAAATGTGGGTTCGTCTTTCTAGAAAATAAAAAAATTCAGTTTAAACAAATTCCAGTCCACTTCGTTTGAAAATGAGCATACACTGCTTTATAAAGAAATACCGATATATTGTCCAAGTAAAATAGTTTCTTAAGCCTTTCTTTTTATTCTAAAAATAATTCTGTTCTGGAGTTTTTTCAAAAATGTACTGTTATCAGTAATAAAATATAAATAATTGCGTTTTATCATTGTTAAGTTAGAACAATTTCAGACAAAAGAATAGGCGATCCATCTGTTTGAAAATCAAATTATCTTTTATTGAAATCTCAATGAGGCAGCATTACCTACAATGAACGATTCACTGGCGCAACAAAGAGTCTTAAAAGGAGAAAGAAGATTGATTCCGACTTCTACAGGTTGATCACCTCTCTAGTGGTATTGCAGTGAGTGGGATTAAGGTAGTAGTAGACTAGTGATGGATCGGTAGAAGGACTGACTAATAGTAAATCTTTGCTTCAGTTCATTTATTCTATCTAATCAAGACCAATCGTAGGAAACAAATGTGTTGCACACCAGCCCTTTTCTCTATCCTGCTATCATCTATTCGGTAGGTGGTAATGAGTTTTTCCTTTTGCCAATTCCTTCCCTCCTCCAACGTTCACTTTTCTTTTCTTTTCTTTACAAGGGTAAAATATGGATAAAATTCCAAGAGCAATATCTCTGAAGATCGCTTTGGCCATAAGTATCCGGAAGTGCAGTTCAATCTGTTTTTTATGAGAACGCTTTGTGCTCCTTCTTAGTTCATGAAAATGAGTTTTACTTTTTAATTCTCCAAGTGGATGACCCATTGGCTTTTCGTTGCATGAGTCATCGCTGTATGGTTACATACCATCACATTTCACATCAATAATAAATTAAATTCCTGTTAAACTATCTGATGCTAATACTGAAATTTCTTCGGACCATTTTTCACCTTCATCTACATTTTATACCGCACGCTTAAAATCAAAACAACAATATTCGGCGTCCTCGAGGATTTATTAAAACAAAAATGTGAGCCGAAGCAATATATAATGATTAAAAATGAACAAAAGCACAGATCATCAGAAGCATGGGGTGTCTTTGGTTGGCCAGCGAAACTACACTCAGATATAAACACGATGAATTGGAAAGATATTTACAAATGAATATTGGTGATGTCCATAAGCAATCAAATTCCTTGGCATTTTGGAAAGAAAATCAATTGAAATTCTCAAATTTATCGTTATTAGCAAGGCGACTTTTCTCGATTCTGACAACATCTGCCGGTGTTGAACGGCAGTTTAGTGCTACTGGATTGGTCATTAATGAACGTCGTGCATCACTAAATTCTGACACGGCTGAGGATATCTCATTAGTTAGATCAGTTCAGAAAATAGTTGAACAAAAATCAAATTTTTTTACTTAGATATATTGTTTAGTTATCTATTATCTGTCAGGCTCAGACAGATCTAAACATTACAGGCCTGACGCAGGCAAACCAGGCCTCAAAATTGTCGGCCTGTTTCGAGCCGTCTTTGGTCTTGAAAGTTTGAGTCCAGTGCGAGTGTATGAGCTTAAAACATTTTCAGTGCAGCCCACGGAGATCTGATAGAATCACAACAACTCATTTAAATAAAAAGAAAATTGTGCAAATGTCTTCATCTGAGCAAAGTTTCGGCATTTTGCCGCACATATGTTTGTATACGTACAATACTTATTCTTGTACATGCTTTTGGCTATGGCACCTTCTTTTGATTACTTACCCAGGTGGGCAGAAGACGGGTGAAGTGACTGGTGTTTTTTCCTAGTCTGGGCGAGCAAAAACGACTCCGTCATGACTAGTCCAGAATTTTAACTGTCACCCATACATGTCTGGACTGTACGACGGACTGAAGTCAGCTAACACGTCCCGACTAGTCTTTACGACAGAAACGACCCCATCATGACTAGTCCAAAATTGCAGTTAACATAAAAATTTGCTCCGAAATTGACTTCTTCGCCCCCCGTTCCCCCGCCTCTGAGGTATCAGGGCGTCCCTGCTGCTACCGCAGTGTAATTTCGTCACATTTTGTTTGGGATTCGCTTGAAGATTCGCAATTTTCAATATCAGTTATCCGAATAATACGAAGATGATTTTTCAAACAGCCAATGGTGTTCTATTTAAATCAAGAGATTTTAATTTGTCACTTGGTTCTCAACGTTTTCTAGAATCAGTAAGTTTAGAGAAGTTAAAATATCTGTTAAGTGAGCACGAGATAAGGTTAGAGTAAGAT